GACTTGTTACACCTAACCCTTGAACTTCTAGCTCTAGACATTGTTTAAAGCTATCTCTATCTTTAAAGCTAAGTCTAGTGATACACTGAATGCCTCTCAGCAGTGGTGACTGAAAATGACCTCAAATTATAAAAAAATTGTGAATTTCTTACAATAAATTGGCACAAAATGGCAGCAAACCCACAGACTGCTGTAAATTGTACTGAGGCTGATATTGTTCATTTGCTTGTAATAACCACAACTTATTCTTTTCAGTCAAGATGTCTCAGGTCCTGTACTATCATAATGTTCATTTGATATCTGAGAGTTTCTGCAGAACAAAATGTTCTGTAGCTGTGTTTGTATTTAATACAATTGATTGTACACTTCTGTTTGGCCATTCATTTAATCCATGATTTTAGTAGATTGATACAAAAGACTTTCTTACAATTTCTCTCTAGGGCACTGTGTGCAGCTTTGGATTCGAACCATCAACCTAAGTAGACTACTAATCCAAAATGCCTTCCTTGTAATTCTCACAGACTGTGTGCAGCTTCTCTGGATTCGAACCTGATCAAGCTCTAAGCTAAGAATGATCCAAAATGCTAATAATTCCTTACAATTCTGACTTAGACTGTGTGCAGCTTTGGATTCGAACAATCAACCTCTAGTAGAATGATCCTTATATTTCAATTCTCACTCAGGGCACTGTGTGCAACACTACGGATTCAGACCATCAACCTCTAGTAGACTGATTAACAAATGCTTTCCTCACTATTCTGATTTAGGGCACGTACTGTGTGCAGCTTCTTTAGATTTGAACCATCAACCTTAAGTAGAATGATCTTAGTGCTTTCCTTACAATCCTGACTTTGGGCACTGTGCGCATCGATTTTCTTCAGATTCAAACCATCAATGATGGTAAACCTCTAGTAAAATGATCAAAAATGCTTTCTTGACAATTCTGCATGCAGCTTATCTTTGGATGCAGACCATCAACCTGTAGTAGAATTCATAATCTAAAATGCTTTCCTTACAATTCTCACATAGGGCAATCACAGTGTGCAGATTCTGTGGATTCAAACCATCAACCTCTAGTAGAAAGATGCAAAATGCTTTCCTTATATATAAATACCATTCTGACGTAGGGCACTGTATGCAGCTTCTTTGGATTCAAGCCATCAACCTCTAGAATTTATAATCCAAAATGCCTGATTGTTTTGTTTTTCAGCTTTTGAAGCAACAATCTTGTGAAATCTTAGTTAAGATAAACTGTAAGTAATTTGTGCAGTCTGTGGGTTCAGGACACTTCAGGTTTTCCATATATTCTATTTCCTTACCCCCACCCCCTTACTAGCCAGCTACCAGGACAGTGATGCAAGTATCAGGAATGGTTGGTATTGAGCACAGGGCTGGACATGGTACTTTGTATTTCTTGATACGCTTAAAAAATGCCTTTTCTTGGTAAGGATCACTGGGGATATACTTTTACTTTATGACAATTTTTACATCCCAGGTAAAGGGTAGTCAAGCGCAATGTTTTCTCGCAATTTATTCTCGTACTATTTTGATGTAGATGAAATCGTTTTCGTGTCTCATTAATTGGCCTTAAGTACAGGGGAGGCCAGTCTAGATCAGTATAGTGTTTATAGTGCCAGTAGTTTATGTTTTTTTACCATGTCCAGTTACCTTGTGCAACATGGTAAGTAAAACCGAAGACTGTGGCAGCAAGACAGGTGGTCCCAGGACAGGTGAAACAGGTGGTCCCAGGACAGGTGTCTCCGACTACAAGGTGGCTTGATGGAGGGCGGAGGTCATCAACAGTCATCAAGGTCAGGGTTTGAACCTGAACCCCTTGGCCTGTGTGTCTGTGTCATTCATTGAGTAGTTAGATTTAGATATAGGCAGGGCCAAAAAAGGACAATTCCATTAGATAGCATAGGAGGAAAGTTGGCATCAAACTTTCTTGAAACTTGGATTAAAAGGTTCTAAACTGATTTCAAAAATTCCCCCTGACCCCAAATATTGCCTTAAAAATTTGATACACAAGTTCTAACCAGAAAATTGCACCTCTCTACCAAATATTGCCTTAAACCTGTTTTTTTAAACTTTGGTTAAAAGGTTCTACGCTGAAAAATTCCCCCCACCCAAAATAATTGTCTTAAAATTAACTTCTGCTTTTTGTAAAATACTTAAGTAGAAAATTTACAACCAGATATTGTCTTAAACCTGTTTCTTGAAACTTTGATGAAATGTTCAAAGCTGATTTTAAAAAAAATTTCCCCAAATCTTGCCTTAAAACACCTGCTCCTTTTAGAGTCCTTTATCATTAATAAATAAGTGTCAACCAAATATTGCCTTAAGCCTGTCTTAAAACTTAAAGAAA